TTGTCTTTGAATGTTATGCAGTGTCCTTTATGTAGTATGACAGTTTCGGGGATTTTCGCCTTCTGTCACTTGCTTTTTCTGTCCTCCTTCTCATTTTCGAGCTCTACAAAACAGCATTTGCTTGCTTGCTCAAACTTGAGATTGGCACAAATTGGCAAAATGGACAAAAAGGTTAAAGAGGTTTCAGCTTTATCAGATTACACTGAAATCTGATCGAGACCGTGTCTGTACAAACAGAATAAAAATTCAGTTAGCTTCCTGTTACAACTCTGCATTTGCTTTGTACAAAGTTAGTTTACATTGGTAGCAAAACTATGAATGCATATTCACACTCCTGCCACACTAGGAAACATTATATTAACTGTGCCTCCATCAGGTAATTTCCCACGGGATCTACCAACTTTTTAGGAAGTTTTTTTTTCCCACTACAGCAACTATTATTTTGCTCCCCCCAAACCCCTGCTTTGAGTGGAAATACAGCTGTTGTGTATAATGCATCTCAATGCGCAATGTTAGGTCAGATTTAACTGCTTGAAGAAAGAAAAAATACTGTGGTTCACCAACTGCACCACATATACGCTTACAGCTCAAACAACCCAAAGTTATGCATGATGGTTTTAATAAAGTCGTGCTCTCTGCCAACGAGACAAATGCAAGTTGAATTGTTCTTTTTTCATATATACCAATCTGTCTTTGGGTTCGGTTTGAACATTTAGCTTGGAAATTTGCTTTTTTGCATCCCTTCTCAGTTCAGTTTAAAGCATTGCAGGAGAGCCTGGTTGATAAATAAGAGTATGCAGTTTGCCATTACTGTTTTTAAAGTTTGAACCACTTTTAAAAGCTCTTTCTACTCCTCACTGCTATGTAGAGCTGCCAACGTGTGAAGCCATGTCTGGCGCTGCTGTAAAGCCTATATGTTTATTCTTTAGTTTTGCCAAATCCGATCTACAGAAGAAGACGTGGCAGATAAAATATGAAAGTTAGCACGAGACAGACAGACATGCAGTTTCTGTCCTTGTTCTGAAATCAGTCGATCTCCCCGCACCATAGTTCTCATAGTTTACATGGTGCAATCATTAAAAAAAAAAAAAAGCAATCTGTGCTCTCATTATCTGAGGTTTCAGATCCGGTTGTTATCATCCAGTCTGTCTAGAGATGTGCAAGTATTGTTTGTCTACGTTTGTTTATTCACGAGAGATACATTTCAGTATTCTGTGTTTGAACATAGTGACCAACCTGGTAAGAAAAAATGAGGCAGCAAAACAAACAACTGCCAGTTCCGTTTGTGATTGGTGCTGCAGGCGTGGGACAGTCTGTGTCTTTGTGCAACACGTCACTTTATCTCAAAGATGATCCGAGTGATGATCTGTTAAGACAAAATTTGCGTCATAGTTAGGTTTATTAATTCTCACAGTCTGTTACTTTGAAAACGTGCATTTATTGTTGATTTTTACACAATTGCAACCAAACTGCGAATGGAAAAACCCGTGTATCAAAGTACTGGAAGGTATATTTTATTCGCCCCAGTCACACCGGCCTTTAGATTTGTCAGTGACCATCCAACAACCACCAGTTGGGAGGAAAAAAATGTATATTCCCCAAATGGTTGCAAGTGGTTTCTGGCAGTCACTAGTGTGAAAATGGTTGCAGAGACATAAACAGTGCTGTATGAAATTCTCCTCGAGATTGCTAGCACATTGCTCATCAGCAGTTTACAAACATGTCTGCAAAAACTTAAAAGCTATTTGTCATGTATTAGTAAAACTGTAAAAAGCACGGAGGCTGTTGGATCTTTTCTATGGTGGAAAACACTTCTTCATATGTTTCAATGCCTAATGAATAAGACAAAAAGTTAGATTTTTATTGCAAACAACAGATTTCTTTCAGTTTAAGGCCATTTTTGTTCCAGATTCCCTTGAATATTTTTAAAAACTGATAAGAATGAAGACCCTTATTTTGTGTTTTTTCTCTCCTTTTTTCTTCTTCTCAGAGCTGATCCAGAATGGCCGGCTGCTCACGCTACCCCTGATGGCGGGAGACCTGCACTCCCTGCTGCCCGATGAAGACAGGAGACGTCTTTATGTG